GGAGGGGACTGGAGGGGAGGGGAGGGAGGCGTGGGCGCCGAACTGGCCGAGCGCGGTGACGCTGGCGCTGCGGCACCTCCAGCCCCACGGCTCCGGGCGCCGGGAGCGGACGCGCAGGTGGCGGGGGAGGGGGGAACGGAGGGGAGGGAAGGGAGGATGGGGAGGGGGGGAGGCAGAGACGAGGAGGGGAGGGGAGGTGCGAGGAGGGTATGGAGAGGGGAGGAGGGCCGACAGAGGGGCGGGGCGATAGGATGGGCGGTGCTAGGGTGGTGGGCGGGGGCTGTGCGGAGGGGAGTTGTGTGGTGGGAGTAGGGCGTGGCTAGCGCGGTGGGCGGGGCGTGGTGGTAGGCGGGGTTATGTGGTAGGCTATGGGGCGTGGCTGTCCTGTGGGCAGGGCTATGTGGTGGGAGGTGGGGGCTAGGCGGGGGCGGGGGAGGCGATGTGGTGGGCGGGGCTGTGCAGTGGGCGGGGCGAGGAGGGACGGGGGCTCCTACACCGCTGGGCCGCTGCTCACTCGGGGCTGCTGGGCCCCGGGCTCCGGGCCTGGGGCGCTGCGGCTCGGAGGCACTGCCGCGATGGGCTCGGGTTTCCGAGGCGCTCAGCACCCCCTGAGCGGGCGGGTGGACGCCATCCATCACGGCCGGCGATGCTGACGCCCCGGTGCGCCCCCTCCCGCTCCGCACTGCGTGGCCAGAGCGGCTGGAGGCAAAACCCGGCCTGGAGCCGCAGGGCCGCGGAGCCGCCTCCTCTCCGGCGGGCTCAGGGCGCGGCCGCCGAGCAGAGCAGGCCTCGTCTTCTGTAATACACGTGTTTATTAATACACGTGTAGCTGATGATGATGATGATGGTGATGATGATGACGCGACAAGGAAGTGTCTGTTCCTCGTCTTCCACAATAAACTTGCTTAGTCCTCGTCTTCCGCAATGCGCGTGCGCTCCCGGGCCCCTCCCCGCGCGGGGATCTACCCCGGGTGTTGCGCCCAGGACCCCTTCCCTTCCCAGGCCGCTGCCCGCGCCCTCCTCCCGAGGTCCCTGCCTTCTTTATTCTGCTTGCTGTTTCCTCATGGGAGGAGTCGGGGCTCTTCCTTTTCTAAATCTTAATTTAAGGCACTGTTTTGGGGGTACATCATGGGGGGGCGTTACTGCGAACTTTTCATGGCTGTGAAAAATGTACTTCGGTCACCGTGTTCCTCCTCGTGGCCGTGCTCATGGCCTGCTCCCTCTGGCCCTTTCTATGAAGTACTGGTTTGTTTGTGTTTTTTAGCATAGAAAGTACATTTTTAAAAATAGAACAAGTGGTGCTCTGCCACTTGAGCGAACCCTGTCTTCCAGCCCCACTTTTTGCTGGTTATGTTGGAGATGGAGCCCTTCCGACATTCCAGCCTAGGTGACTTTGCACGGTGATCGTGAGGTCCCCAGCCTCCCACAGTGGCTGGGATGACAGGTGCCAACCACAGGCACCCAGCTGCCTCTCAAGGCTACTTTGGCAGCCTTCGCATCTCTTTCAGTTCAATGTACTCCAAAATGCCATGCTTTGGGGTACCCGGTACTTAGCGCCATCATCAAAGGCATCTACAGCCCTCATTTTTGGAGCTTCTTGGAGATAGCTGTGGGGTACTTCATCAGTGTCAGACAGGAGAGGCTGTCAGGTTTACAGGGGAAAAAGCCACCTGTGAAGGTGCCTGGCAGACACCCAGTTACCCAAGACTTTTTCTTGCACTTTGTCTCTCTCCTCTGCAAATTCCCAGTGGGGGTTTACATGCACCATGGTACATACAGACTGACTCTGGGGAAAGCAATAAAGAAGAAAGATGCCAGTACAGACCTCCTCATGGCCCATGCATGGAACATGAAGGACAATTTCTTTATGGGCAGCCACAAAGCCAGCCTCAGAACCTCTGCTCTGGGCCTTGGGGCCTGGAAGTACAGCTCACACTGTCAGCATTTCAGTGCATGTCCACAAAAGCCCCACACCCACAGAGCTGGAGTCCACACAGCCCAGCCCCCACAGCTCCAGTCCACATAGGCCACATCCACACAGCTCTGATTTGTCCATTACCCTCTGCCACTCACCACAACTCTGCATAACAGGTGTAATGTCACACAGAATGGCTGAGCCCTGCTTTCCCACCTGTCCACCCAAGCTGGGCCACACTGAGGCCTGAAGAAAAACCCCAGGACTACACAGGGGGAATGCTTAGGAATATGCAGCTCTTCCCAAAGAACCGCAACATCTCTGATTCACTGTCTTGCCATAGTCTCTGACTTTGGTTCTGTGGTGGTAATCTCTTGCCCCTTCCGAAGGCTCTGGGGCAGGTGTCTGGTTGTACTTATTGGCTTCTATTTAGATTTGTGCTTTCCTGCTGATTTTCAATCAGTGTTATTGGGGTCTAACAGTCCAGGATAAAAGGAATGCCGAAAGGGCACATTTCAAACTGGAAGTGGTTTGGATGTTAGAGGGTGGGACCTGGTAGGAGGAAGCTAGACCACTGGGTAGATTCTTGTATGTGTGTGTGTGCTCATGTGTGCTGATACTGGGGCTTGAACTCAGAGCCTCATGTTCACACTTGGCTTTTGCACTCGGGGCTGGCACTCTACCACTCAAACCATACCTCCAACCGGCTTATTGGTGGCTACTTGGAGACCACAGTCTCATGGATATTCCCGTCCACACTGGGTTCAAATCCTGATCCTCAGATCTCAGCCTCCTGAGTAGCTGGGATTAGAGGTATGAGCACCAGCACCCATCAGCTTATAGGCATGTTCTTTTTTTTGGGGGGGGGATCCAGTCGTGGGGCCTGAACTCTGGGCCTGGGCGCTGTCCCTCAGCTCTTCAGCTCAAGGCTAGTGCTCTACCACTTGAGCCACAGTGCCACTTCTGGCTTTTTTCTTTTTGCTTATGTGGTGCTGAGGAATTGAACCCAGGGCCACATGCATGCAAGGCAAGTGTTCTACCACTGAGCCACCTTCCCAGCCCATATGCATGTTCTTGAGGAGGATACAGAGTGCCAATCCCATCCTCCCTCTCTCTCATTGCTGCCTGGATTACAGGCATGAACCACAGGTTACTTGGTCCTAATTCATTTTCATGGGTTCTTTATATTGTCAAGTTGCAGGAAATCTCCCTACATCTGAACCTAGTAGCCATTCCCCTTCATGTTCAGTGGGAGTGGCTTGCCTCCCCAGCTTCCCACCGCCGGAAGCTCCATCCTTGGGAGGGATGAGTGAGGACCACCCTGGCATCTCCGTTCCCTGCACGCCCTGTGCCTGACTCCTGGAAGGAAATGAAGAACCTCCTTGCCATTCTTTTAACTCTGACTTCTGAGCAGGCCCAGGAAAGAAGAAAGAGAAGCTGAGAAAGAAAGCCAAGGATTTTCCAGGCAGGGCTTGGTCACCAGGACTCTGCCAGGACACCAGCATTCTGCCAGGATACTGGAACTGTGCCGGGACACTGGGGCTCTGCCTGGATGGTGGATGATGCATCCTGGGACCAGGACCAGCTTTCTTGAAAAAGAAGCACCTGTCCTGGTCACCAGCTACTCATAGGGACCAGCCCGGCCTCCGCCATACCTCCCTTCCCAGCCTGGCCTTGCCAGATTACAGAGCCCAGATCTAAGTGGACAGCCCAGTTAGGAGGATCACCTCCCTGCCCTAACCAAACCCACATCCCAGCGTGGGACCTGGGGGGCTCGCCCAGCTTCCTGGCCTCCCCTGGGCACCTGTGAGCCCCCCAACACTGAGGTGATCACCAGACCTCCCACTGGGCCCCAGGATCCCCGGGACACAGAGGCCCACAAAGGTCATCGGGAAGAGGGCAGAGTGGGGCATGGGGTCAAGTCCACGCCCGCCCAGACCCACACTCATGCCACTCAGGAATTGCTCTTGTTCTAGAAACAAGCTATAAGGAAAGAAGACCCAAATAAGCAGACCCAGCCAGAGAACGGGACAGACAGACACCCGAGACCCTAGGGGCCCCGGAGCCACTGTGACCACATCCCCCCAGCCCACTCGAGATGTCCAGTGCTTCTGCACAAAAGGAATTATTTTCCCATTTCCTCCTTCGGGTAATTGTTTAAAGTCCTGACTTGTCTTGGCTCGAGCGTGGTAGAAGCGGAGCACGGTTCATCTTTTTTAATGAGATCTGTGACATGTGCGTGAAAAGCAGCATCGCAGCTAAACGCTGACCATCTAGATTCAATGAAATATTAACCTGGATGTGGGAACCACCACAGGAGACCCCCCCCCGCCACGCCTCCCATGGGCAGGTACCAAGTCGTCCTCCACTCTGTCCTGGCCTTCCCACGGTCAGATGGACCCTGGGGTCACTCAGGGCCGTCCCTCCCATCCAGCGCCCGGAAGTGACCCTCCGGAGGGTCACCCAGAGGCCACCATCTCCCAGACTCCTCTGAAATTTATGGTGGTTTGGAGCAGGGCACCAACACCAGGCTTGGAGCCAACACAAGGGAATGAGTGAAAAACCTTGATTCAAGGGGGATGGGGAGGCAGCCTTTGGTGTACCCCAGCACTCTGACAAGGGACTCTGCTGAGTTTAGGGTGGACGGTGGCAGTGAGGCTTTGACCCCAGGGACTCAGGCACCCCATGCTCCCTCCTCCCCCTCCCCCCATCGCCTCTGTGCTCTTTGATCCAAACTGATCCCTCCTACAGGAGTTTCAACTTTAGGATTCCTATGTAGCTGTAACGACAGGTGTGTACCATGCTGCCCTTCCCCCCTCCCTCCTGCTTCTTTCTTTTGAGATGGGGTCTCTTGGATTTTTCTGCCCAGGCTGGCCTCAAACCATGAGCTTCCTGATCTCAGCCTTCCACATAACTGAACATGACAGGACACACCACCGCACCAAGATGGGAGACTGAGAAGGGAGTCCCCAAAATACCTCTGCCCAGCCTGGCCCCAAACTTGGATCCATCTTCAGCTTCCCAAGTAGTAAGGATTAGAGGTGTGAAGCCACCCGCCACCAAGGCCCAGCCAAGCTTATTGTGTAGGCTGCAACAGGCCAGTGGGAAAGAAGATGCCGTAACGCAGGCGAGGTGGAAGCGTTCTGTAAGGTCCGCTCCTGGATGGCAAGCAGACTCCACCCTCCTCGCAGCAAAGTCTCCACCCATTACCTGCGTTACCTAGGCAACTGGGACACCTGGAAGAGGTCACATCTGCATCCGCTGAGGTCACATCTGAATTTGATGTGGCCACACCTTTCCCCTATACCCTATATAAGGCCTAGCCCAGGCCCAGACGCCCTCTTGCTCTTCTTTTCTGCTCGCTTGCTCTTGCTGCTCTTTTCTTGCTCTCTCTGTTCTATTCTAGCTCACTCTCTGTTCTTTTCTTGCTCTCTCTCTTTCCCAGCCACGTGGAGTGCCAACCTTGCCTGGTCCCAGCAGGTCTACTGAATAAACCTACCCCTTACCTGAATACCACGTGCGTGCTGGTGCAGTTCTTAATCGAATACCTCTTTTTAAAAACCTAACACGTTCATCCTGATTTGACTGGTGCCTGCTCCAGCCCTGGACTCAGGCGTCACAGTATGCCGCAGATATGCACGCTGTTTGTGAGTCTTCCTGTCCAGGCCCTGCCCACACCCTGCCCACATCCTGCCCACACTCTGTTAAACACAAATTGTTCAGCCACTTGTACGTCAGCACTAATGGGCAGCTTGTCTGATGGAACA